AAATAATTTCTGACTGTCAGGTTGCTGTAAGCTCAAACCTAAGTTTTTTCAACCACCGCCTGGTCAACTGATCTCTTCTACTAGACGATTGGAAAGACTCGCTTTGGATTTTGTTAGCCCTCTTCCCTCAAAAACAGCAAACAAATACCTTTTAGTCATAATTAACGAGTACTCCAGATACCCATTTGCATTACCTTACTACCAAATTACCTTTAATATAGTATTAAAACATCTTTTAGAAATATTTTCTCTCTTTGGCCCCCCTGCCTCCATTCAGTTTGATCGAGGTACTCAGTTTGAAAGAAGAAAACTAAGATACTTTCTATTAGGCAACGGTGTCAGCAAGACACGAACAACACCATATCGACAACAAGGAAACGGGCAATGTGAAAGACTAAACTCTACAATCATGAAAACAATAAACTTAGCTTTACGAAATTTTGAACTAGAAAAAACTGACTGGGAACTCCGGATCTGGGAACTCCTGGACTGGAAATTCCGGAACTGGGTATTCCGGATCATGGGAGGGGGGCTAGGGGCGCTATAACTCCAGGCCTCGCAAATTTAGGGGCACCCCGAAAATTTTTTTTTAAAGTCAAAATTTTTTTTTCTTAAAGTCATTTTTAGGCTCTAGTTCATAAAAAGGCTTTCAAAAGAAAAAATATCCCCGGGCCCCAAGAAGTCTTAATCCGCCACTGCTCCCTGTAGCTCTATTCTCTACTCGATCCCTACTATGCACTTCAACAAATTCTAGTCCACACAACAGATTAATGGGTTTCAAACGCTCAACTATTACTGGTGTTGATTTACCTGACTTTCTAGTAGAATCAGGTAGTGCTGTCCTACATAAAAATCAACTTCGATTGAAAGGAGATCCATTGGTAGAACCAGTCACTTTGCTTGAAACTGTAACACCACACTATGCACGTATAAAATATATAAATGGCAGAATTGACACTGTATCAACACGACATCTAGCATAATGTGCCACTCCCCACAATAAAGAAATAACCAAACCACCCGAAACCTTTGAGACATTAATTTCACCCTAAGAAGACAGTTCAACAATTACAAACTCTAGCAATAATTTTGAAACCGATGAAAATAACCTGATATTACCAACTGATTGCCATCTTTCGTCTCCCACTAATGATTTACCTTCTCCAAATAAAACGACTACTAGTACCAATATTACACTCAATATTCTGACGTCACTACTACTCAAAACCGTACCCTACTACTGACGTCAGTACTACTCAAAACCGTACACATCTTATTAGAAGACCACCCTCAAAGCTTAATTTGTAACAAAACTTAACTAAATCAAAACTATATATAAATATCTATTGGAAAGGTGGAAGACTGTGATATTGCGTTATTGCGTTATTGCAATATTGTGTTATTATATATACACACTCACACACACACACACACACACACACACACACACACACACACACACACACACACACACAAACACACATATATATATATATATATATATATATATATATATATATATATATATATATATATATATATATTTATATATATATATATATATATATATATATGTATATATATATGTGTGTGGGTATATATATATATATGTATATATGTGTGTGCGTATATATATATATATATGTATATATATATATATATATATATATATATATATATATATATATATATATATATGTGTGTGTGTGTATATATATATATATATATATATATATATATATATATATATATATATATATATATATATTATTTATATGCATTTATACTTAATTTTTTTTTTCCATTTATATTTAATACTGCGTTTTTTTAAATAATCTATTTATAAGCATTAATTTTGTGTGCATATGCATTGTATATATATCATCTTACATAACATTAATATACATTATTTTACATAATTTAAATACAATGTGTGTATATATATATATATATATATATATATATATATATATATATATATACATATATATATATATATATATATATATATATATATATATATATATATATATATATATATATATATATATATATATATATATATATATATATATATATTTATATATTTATATATATATATATATATATATATATATATATATATATATATATATATATATATATATATATATACATTTAATAATATATATATATATATATTAATAAATGTAGTTTGAAGCAAGTTTTACAAATGAAAGCCCTTTCAA